TAAATTTAAAAGAATTTATTATACCCATAAACTCGTCGAGTACCGGGCATAAAAATCTAAGAAAAAAGATAAAACAAATCCGCCACACAACATTCAACATGAATTTCCACAAGTTCCACCATTGAGTTTCTTTATTTTCAACGTTTAATTTCAACAGGCTGCAAGCAAATAGTTATATTCGCAAATACTCGTAAATTACAAATATTTTCGAATATAAATATTTTTTACGTATATTATTTATACCAGGTAATTGCCCCAAAAGCATAAAATATTTCCAAAAATATTTTACGTAAAAGGAATGCAAAACGTGAAATTTAATACGTTGAGATTTGTTCGCCTATGCAATGCAATCTTCAACACATTCCCAGCTAGCAAATGAAACAATTTTATGTATGCGCAAACATATTTTCATGGAATTCACTGCAGCGCCCTGAAACGCAGCCAACGGGTGGGTAGAAAACATAACTCATGCATGTAATTTATATGCAACTTTCTATTTTTATTTAAATAACAAATTTACGCCAAAACGGGCATCAACAATGAGCAGACCAGATGCCGCTCTCTCTCACTCACTCCCGCTTCTGTCAAATATTTAACATATTTTTTTTCTTTTTTTTTTTAAATAAAATTATCATAAAACAATAAAGGTGAAAAGTATGCAGACATTCGTGCACACATATGGGGCTATGGCTGTGGCTAATACAGATGCAGTTTTGCTTAGAGCCCGGCTCAGAGAGTTGCAACTATGCAAATGGCAAACAAGGAACAGGGACAACCTAGGCTCTCAACCCCTGCGCTGGCTTACTTATGGTAGTACTGCAGACAGAAAGACCCAGAGAGAGATGAATGCATATGGGCTGCTACTTTTGCTGGCAGTCTGATTTCGATTTCACTAAAACAAAACACAGGCTAAGAGCGGTTGATTAGTGGAGTGTTACGACCTGGCAGATACCCACTAGTAAGATTATTTTAAGGAAAAATTTAATATAAATTTAAATTTTAGATTTAAATTTAAATTAAATTAAATGTAAATTTATTTCAATGCTCTTTTGGGCCTTTCCCTCCACATACCTGTTACAAATATCCCCTACGAACCCAATATACCCTTCTCCATACCTCGAGAGCCGTGCCAGCCACAGAGAAAGAAAACAAACGTCGCGAGTTGGGCGTCTCTCAGTGGGTTATCCTTGACTGGCCCTGAGCCTGCAGCTAAATTAGCTTTGCCTGGGTCACACGGACACCCAACCAGAGCAACAGACCGGAGCAGGCTGGCACTGGCTGGGCAGGAGAGAGCATGGAGCAGGATGTGCAAACAACAGCAAGAGTAAAAAAGAAAAGGCAAAAGCAGCAGCAGCGGCAGCAGCAGCAACAATTGAAATGAAACAAACGCAGAGAATGCTGTAAAGTGAAATGCAACTCTGGGTTTGGGTTATAAATAGACTCACACACAAACATACACACACACACACACACACACACACACACACACACACACACACACACGGCAGAGAGTGTGGATGAGAGGGAGCACAGCTGATATGTATGTGTGTTCTTGTTTTTGTTTTATTCTAAAGCTATTCTAAAGCACAGCCAGGCAGCAGGGCAGCATTCTTTTCAATTGCATTCTGCTTCTTGCTTTTTGCCTATCCCATTGGGGAGGACAAACAATGAACAAGAGAACAGAACAGAGAAGAGAAGAGAAAAATGTTTGCCTGAGCCTTGAGCTGCTCCTCTTGCATTTGTGGGCTGAGTATAGAAAGTGCTTAAAAAATATATGTAAGCAGAACAGAGATCAGATCACGTGTCCTTGTGGCAGTGCTTGATCAAACATCGAAGCATGAAGGTAACCAATGGGTCGGCAGCAGTCAAGGTTCAGTGTACCCTGATGTCAGCACTGTTCAGAGTTGTTAAGCAAAGCCCGCTACTCAGCATCTATAGTGTATCCAAGCTAATCCAAAAACGGGTAAAAACTCACTGGAAAAGAGCTGGAATGATGAGAGTACTTGAAAACCCACCCTTAACTGCTAAGCTACACTGGAAGAGAGAGAGGGAGTGGGAGAGGCAGAGATGAAAGAGAGCTGCGAGGCAGGAGAACTTTTTTTCTTATGCTAACTATTCGATTCGTTTGGGTGAGATTTTGGAATCTCATACATAGATCAATTCCCATTGCCTACAAATGTAGCTTATATTTCTATTTTCTACTAAAAGTTTAAGCTAGCTCTAAAAACAAGGCATGCATTTCCTTTCTTTTGCATTTCGTTCCTTTTTGCTCACGCATTCCATTGTCACTCCACATACAATTCACAGCCAGACAAAAGCTCCAACAAGCCTGCTCAAACATGCAGGGATATTTGCTTACGTGTCCAAAGCTCATCTCATACACGCGCCCCCGCCCCACCCCCAGACAGTCCACACAGGCACCACCACTCAGGGCCACTTTCATAAATGAAAAACCTCTCAGAGTTTTGTTTTCTATTTCTATTTGTTTAACGTTGCCAGCCAGCCAGCCAGCCAGCCAGCCAGCGGTTTGTTTTATTGTGTTGTTTTCTCGTTTTCTCGTTTTTTTTTCTTTTTTCTTTTTTGTTTTATGTTTATTTTGTCGCGCATTAGAAAAACCTCGCGGTAATTTTGAATTTCACTTTCACACAGATAATTCCGCCTTTGGGGATGTGGGATTTACGTAATTATTATATGCGCAGGCCCCTGATGACGATTCATATTTGATATCTGTGCCTCATCAGTTGCAGAGCTACAGGTACCGCCCGCGAGCCACACTAATTGCCACATTTCGGTGTATGCCGCCGCCGCCACATGCAAATGCAACATCATTTTGCCCGCCCCGAAGCTAATTGCATTGCAACACGCGCTTTAAAGTCAATGAACGATTTGGTATTTGGCTTGCCGCAATTTGAGGCACGCAAATGTCAAAGCTTTTTAAAATAGCCATAAAATGTCGGCAACAAAAGGGGGGGCCTGCTGGCATAGCCCCCAAAAATAGCAACAACCGTTGTGTAAATTGCCAAAACAATAAACATAAAATGTCATACATAACACAGTTGAGTAATACAAAATTTATGCAATGTTTTCTTTTCTTGGGGCTTTTTATCGAGCGCGTAAATGTGTGTACCCGTGGGTGGTGTTTGGAGATGAACGCGTGAGTGGGTCGTGAGAAGCAAAGAGCTAAGAAGGAAGAAGCAGAGGAAGAAGAAGGATAACTAAGGAAGCTGTCAGTGTCTCCTAAAAGTATGCACTGAAAATTACGTTGCTCTGGCATTAATTCTGCTCCGAAGCCAAGTGTTCAAATAGCCAACGGAAACTAGATTTGTTAATTAAAGCTACACTACTGAACCGATCGTAATGAAATTTAGTTATCAAATAGAGTTTATCATTCTTCATAATTCTGGATTAAAGAAAAAAATATTCTTAGCGCTAAGTATTTTAAATAACACCATCTCTATATGGTTATATTTGCTTAGCTTTTATGTGGCACACAAATAACTTGGGAAACGTAAATAGAAAGGGCAGTAGTGTGCTGGTAACTGCCAAAAGGTCGCCTCCTGTAGGCGCCACACTATTTGCATGTGTGAAGGAGCCAAAAGTTGCGAGCTAAGAATATCGTGAGTAACAAGCAAGCCCTTCTCATAGCCACAAATCAAAAGGCAGAGAAACATGAAACAATATGTCAAATGATATTACACATTAAATTAGTTAAGACCCAGCAGCAGATATGTGTGTATGTATAATAAAGCTGCCTGTGTCGTGTGTGTGTCGGAGTGGAGTGTCAGAGTCAGTGTCTGCGGGTGTTCGTGTCGAGCATATGGTTTTTGGGGGAAATTTCCCCCTTTTCTTTTTCTTTGCTTTTCCTTCTCGGCTTGAGCACAATTTACCCAGCAGCAATTTGTCACGTGACATTTTCGTTTGGCCAAAAATTACAAATGTTTTTATTATTTTTGTTTATGCTTTTCTTGTGTTTTTGGTGTTGCTGCTGCGGTTGCATGCTTCGCTGCGAGGCGTTTGCCAAGAGGTGCGTGTTCTCTAGTATGATTTTGATTTCTTGACGTGTGTTCACACCGAAGATACCACATAACATGACAGCAGAGCGATTGAGAGAGTAGGAATTGAAGTGTGCTAGCTTCATGTCTATACATTTTCCCTTATTTTTGCAATGGTCTAAAACCACTCAACATTTTTAATGGATTTTCCATGTATGATAATGGAGTCCTTGCTGTAAAAATTCCTTGCATTTCCATAATTATACGGCTTCTGTTTGATTTTAGCTAACGAATTAGATTAATTTTTTTAAAACCAAAATTTGTATGCATGCAAACATGCGATGCCGAAGAAAGTTTATGGACAGAACAAAAAATTGTAATGAAAATTAGAATGTTCAAATTTTGCTTGCGTTATAATTCTTTGTAGAGCTCTAAAACTTTATCGATACTTTAAATTTATCAGAAAAACGTATCATGGATCATGTATCATGTATCAGTTATCATGCTTATCCTGCCTTACAATTGATTGTAATCGCTCCAGCGTAAAACTTATTTATGTATAATTTTTTTGTTCACTCGACTAAGTTCTCTTTTTTCTCAATATACTCTGCTTATTCCTGTTGATTTTTCCAGCTATCGATGTAGGCCAACAGCCGTGTATCATGTATCAAAAAAAAGATATCGTACCAAATTGATTTAGGTTTCGAGACCCACAAATGAAACTGAGCCCAAGTGAGCCCACCAATCAATAGCATTTACATATACGTAAATGAAATGTAAATAGTCACAAAACAATAAATCGATGTGGGGGGTTGGGTAAAATATGCTTAGGACACACGTGTTTTCGGTACAGTTACAGGCACATTTTTTCGGTAGAGTTAGAACACATAAATGCAATGACTGAAGGGTTTAGTGTGAGAGAATCTGTTTTATGTGTGTATTTTTTTTTTGTTTTTTTTTTTTGTGTGTGTCTGTGTGTAGTGTTTGTGTTATCTCACTCGCACTCACCTATCCCTCAGGCAAATTTTGAACTCATGCTGGGAATCATAATCGCTGTTATCGATGAAATTGTTCCTTTCCCTGTGTTCCCTATCACGTTCTCGCTCCCTTTCGCGCTCTCGCTCGCGCTGATACTCCTGCATATTGGCCAGCTGTTTGTGGAACAGCTCCTGCTGTGACTGCAGCAGCTCGTGATGATCTTGCAGGGCCACCAGCTGGGACAATTGCTGCTGATATGGCGTCTGTGGATTGGGCGAGTTGGGGCGATGCCGCTGATACGGATGATGATGGTGCGGCGCATGATGGTTCAAATGATGATGATGCGGATGACGATTCTGTGTCATTGTCCTGCCGCCGCCACCGCCGCCTCCTTGATTGCTGGCAGCATGCTGCTGTTGATGTTGCTGCTGATGCTGCTGTTGCTGCTGGCCCTGCGTATGCGGGTGATGCAGACTCGGTGTGCTCTTCAATTGCGTTAGCTTGTGGCAACTCGTTACCTCGGCCAGTCCAAACTCCAGCTCGGCCTGTGCCTGCTGCTCGTACGCCTGCTGTGCCTGTTGCAATCTCTCTCGTTCGTTTCGCGGCGAATTGGCCAGCTGTTCGGCGGGCGGTTCAATCTCCACCGCCGAATAATCGTAGTCCAGGTGATGATGATGATGGTGCAGACTCTGTGCGGGCTTGCTATTGCCACCAGCACTGGGCGCCGTGACGGCACCTGTGCCGGGCGTCGCTGTGGCTATCTTACCAGCCAGTGCATCTAAAGAACTCAGCATGGCTTTAACTATCTCTTGAAGTCTCTCTCTCTGGCTTAGTTATATCCTTTCCTTATGATTGTTCCTGCATATAAAACTCGTGGGTCTCTGGTTCTCGCCGGTTCAAAAATTTTTGCTTTTATCGCTTGTTTTCTGTTTTATTGTTTTTTTCGTATTTATTGCTTAGAACTTGCCTGAGGGAGAAGTTGGGAGGCAAATTGCATTGGATTAGTAAATTTCAATGAATATTTATTAGTTAAGGTAGCAACAAAAAAAAAAAAAAAACAAATGTTTGACCTTGACAATCATGCATCTCATTCACTCTAGTGGAAAAGGTATGAAGGGCTCACTCCCTCACTCTCTCTTAGATATTCTTTATGTTTATTTTGTAGCTTAGGTCAGCTACATTTCACTTAAGCTCTTTCCCTCTGTACAGCTCTACAAAATGCCAACAACAAAAAAAAAAAAAAGGGAACAGGGAACCCAGTTCAGGACCCACTCACAGGACCCACTCACACCCATGTTCATTCACTCTATGCTGCTGCTACTGCTGTGTGAGTGCTTTGTGGAGTGTCTGTGCAGCGTACACGTACGTACGTCTGTCTGTCCCCGTGTCTGTGGTTGTAAAATGCAAACACTTGAGCTAGAAAAGGGCTAGCCGGAAAGCCAATGCGCCCTCAGTGGAGACGGTTGTAGGTGGAGCTGGAGCTGGAGTGCTTGCTTCTCTCATTGTGTCCAGTGTTTGCTGGCCCTCACACACACACACTCCACTTGCGTAGGGGCCCTGCTTTGTGGTCAAAATAATTGGGGGACATTCACATGGAGAAAATCAAGAGGAAAATGCAAACATTTTCAAATATTTAATATATATTTTTGGAGCAGAGCAAATTTAACAATTTAAACACAACAAAAATGTCACAAAATTAAAATGCATAAATTACTTACTGAGAAATTAAAAAAATAAAACATTTTAATATTAAAATGACAAACTCATAAATTTAAAAATAAAAAAACAAACAAATTTCTGTGCTGATTCTTCAGTTTACTTTTAAAATTTATGAGTTTGTCATTTTAATATTCAAATAACAAAATCATAAATTAAAAAAAAAAAAAACATATTTCTTGAATATTTTTGTTTGATTCTTTGCCACCAAAAAGTAAGTCTTTTGTGAGTTCCGCCAAAAGAGAAGGCAGCCAAATGGACGGCGGAGCCAAGTCAGAGAATGAGAATAAGAATAAGTAAAATGCAACAGCTTGGTATAAAATATAAATATAAATTTTACCGCTCAAAATAAAAAATCGTTAAACAAAAATTGAACTTAAATATATCCAAAAAATTGCCAATCGAATTAAAAACAATCTTAGGCTCTCACAAGCTGGGCAATCCAATTTTGAAGTTCTATCTCTGACAAAGCAGCAGGCAGAAGAGCTTAGAGCTCTCATCTCTCACTCAAGTTTATTTGTGGATTATCTCAAGGATTTTGCAATGAATGTAGATTGCAATACTTTGTGGCTAACCCTGGAGGAGAGCCTGTCAACTGCAGCAGCAACAGCAACAGCAGATGGAAGGCTAACCCATCGAGCAGCAGTAGCAGCCAGCAAACAAGTTGACCACACAATCCTGGGCAGCTCCTCTGCTCTGTGATCTGTGCTATGTTTTCTCTATCTTTGGCCATCGGTAGTCACTGTTATATCTATGCACTGGCATCGCATCATCCTTAACCACTTCTCTCCTTAGCCAACACTGCCCATATCCTCCTCTTGTACTCAACACCTGCAAAATATCTTCAATCAAATTTGCAAGCTTACAGCAAAAATGTTCTAGTACCAAAAAAAACTACAAAGTTTGCTTTAGTATCTATCCCTTTTTGGGCAGCGATGATTGCGGAGCGGATGGGGATTGGGGTGCGCTGTGGTGTGTGGTTTATAGAAAGGTAAGATCCCATTGTCTAGCCAGGCGTTTGTGCACGAGTGGGAGCGAGTGGGAGGGAGTCTTGATGTTTGTTGCATGACATACTATGAAAGTCAACTTGAATGCAACGCTGGCTGTGTACATTTTACCATATATATTTAGGTCTCTGTAGGTTTTAGCCCACCACCCATTCATAGCCATTTCTGTGTGTATTTGCGCCCTGCAACTTTAAGTAGTTCTGCCATGCCACCTTCCCTCTACTCTCTCTACTCTTCCGCATCCGATGCTATGTTTCCTCCTCATCCCACAGCTATGTTTGCTCCTCTTCCACTGCTATGTTTCCTCCTCTACTCTCTCTCTCTATGCTGCATTTGAAAGGAATTTGCCTTTTACAAGATTTTACTCTTTGCAATTTACACGCGTCGACCGCTTTCCCATAAACATACTACCCACAGCACCACCCCCCTCACAAGCAGCACTCACACAGATAAACTCAAAAACGAATGCAATGTTTGTGTTGGATGTTGCAAGAGCATTTGGCTTTTGTAAATGTTACTTCCTTATTACATGGCATTATATTATTGCACACATACACACACACACATAGAGTCGTCTTGCAGCTATCAAAGTAGTCTGAGCCACAAAAAGGTGGATGGGTGATGGGTGATGGCTGTTGGGGTGCAGCTGGGGCTGTGCTTGTAAAATGTTTTCCAGGATGTTTGCTCACGCAGGAAGTCGCAACAGCAACGGAAAGAAAGCAATCCTTGCTGTGCGTAATTAGCAGGAGGCTGCTGCCAAGAAAATGCACTTTAAATACTCATTCGGGGCAGGGTCTGACTATAATAATTGGCATCAGTTTTGAGCACAAATAAAACGCAGATCTTAACTTTAAAGCGGCAAAAGCTTTTTGCTTAAATTTAAAATACATGTTTTTGATTTATTCATAATATTTATGCATAAAATATAATTTAATAATCAATTTTTAAATCAAAACGTAATTATTCGATTCCCAGAGCTTTTCTCTGGGTGTAAATTTTACCCCCTACATAAAATTATTGGCATCAGATTTGAGCACAAATAAAACGGATCTTTACTTTACTTTGCTTAAATTAAAAATAAATTTCATTCATTTATTCATATATTATTTATGAATAAAATGTAATTTAATTATCAATTTATAAATCAAAGTGAGAGATCTTTACTTTAAAGCGGGAAAATATCTTTACTTAAATTAAAAATAAATTTCATTTATTTATTCATAATATTTATGCATAAAATATAATTTAATTATCAATTTTTAAATCAAAACGATTCGATTCCCAGAGCTTTCCTCGGGGTGTAAATTGTACCCCCCACATAAAATTAAATGCATAATAAACACAAATTAGCATTTGGTTATTTTGCCATGAATTTCAATACTATTTAAAGCTTAAAAAAAAACCAATTCTAAAACTTAATTAGGCATTCAACTAATTTCATTCAAAGCAAAAACCAAGAGCACAACCCACAGCCGCAAGGCAGCAGGACAGCGAGCGAGAAAGCGCGTCAGACGAGAGAGTTAGTTCCGCATTTTATTTAGTTTTTTTTTTTCATTAGTCCCTGGCATAATAGAATTTGAAAAGCAAGCGAGATTAAGTCATGTGCTCTGTGTGTGTGTGTGTTATCAGAACTAACAAATGAAAACTATAAAAGAGAAATGGGTGAAAAAAAAGCAAAGCGAGCAAAGAAAATCGCGCCAGACGAGGACACCCAGTCGGTCGGCGGTGCATCAAAGACCAGAACGCGCTCTCCATAACCCAAAAACATAAATCCTTTGCTGTGAAAAATAAATAAAAAAGTGAAGCTGGCAAAAGAGTAAAATGAATATGCACTCTGGTCCCACAATCCATCCCAGGGACCCAGAACTAGACCAGAATGCAGACTAGAAGAAACATTTCAAAGAGTGCTGGAAATACAAGTGGGAAAAAAGTTGATAAGCGGCAAACAGCAAAAGCTTTTTAACACCCAGCAACCACACAGACCGAAAGAGAGATGAAGATGAAGCTGACGCATTGAATGCGGATTGCAGTCAGATAAAAAAATAAAATTAATAATGAGATTTTTCAGCACGAGCGCCAAGCTAGAAATATTGAGTGAAAGCCAAAGGAAATTTCTCACCCATTGCAGCTTTAAGTAACACAGAAAGAAGAACAAGCTGTTTTTAAGCAGAATTAATCGCGAGAGCTGTTCAAAGCAGAAGCAGAAGAAACAGGAAGAGTGAAGAGTGCTTCGAAAATAAACCAAAACACTAATTAAATATTGCAGCAGAGAAGTTCTTTGAACAAGTTCCATTGCTGTGTAAATGCTTTCGTTTTGAAGCGTTTTCAACCTCATGAATATTTACAGATTCATTCAATTATCTATTGCAACTACTGCAAACTGCAACATTTCCTGTGCAACATTTTCTGGCCATTATTTTGCCATGATTATGATGGCCAACTGGAGCAAATATTCCCCTTTAGGCCAGCATTAAATCAAATGGAGCATTTTGCATCACCGAAACACACACACACACACAAATATTGTGTCACCTCACAAAATGTTATGATCCTGAGGAGACAAATCCAATCAGAATCCCCCTCTATACACACAGATGCATAAATTGTCATCTGACAATTTAATAAACAATGCAAACTTGGGGCTAAAATGATTCGATATTCAGGGGGGGGGGGGGGATATGCAGAGCAAATGTAAATGAATCAACTAACTAATTAAGCAGGAATTGGCAATGAAGGGTGGGAACGCCCCAAAGGATGGCCCAGAAACTGTGTGTTCAGCCCGTATTGATTTCTCTCTACTTTGTCCATAAATAATAGATCAACATGCCACAAAAACTAGCACCAAAAAATGCACTAAAATTCCACATCTTAAAGGCCGGGCATACGAAACTTAAATCTTTTAATAAAATGTGGTACACAATTGTTGCCTTCGTGGTGCTATAAAGCTGAAAGAACCGCAGCAGCAGCAGCAGCAACAGCAACAACAACAAACTCAAAGTCACGATGAGTGGGAGAAAGCAATTACTTTCTGCTTTTGCTTGTTGCTTCTCTAGTACTCCCAAAGAATTCTCTCATCCGCAGCCGAAAAAAAAAAAAAAAAAAAAAATGGAATAGAAAACTTTTTGTGGCCCTGACAGCAGTTTATGCTACACTTGCTTCGACTCAAACTGTCAATATTTTACTTTAAGACACACAGCAGCAACAGCCCAAGAAGCAGCCCTAGAAGCAGAGCCAGCAGCAGCAG